CAAAACCCGGGGCCGCGGTTTCTTTCACCTACCGTTACCGTTTCCGTTTAATGACCGCTATTTTCCGTTTCTGGCCGTTAATCTTTGAGATCGATTTTCACGTAAAATGATCTCCGAAGCAGACGTTCAGAAGTGAAGTTTGGGGCCGTTTTAGGCCCTAACCTTCACTTCTGAACGTCGGCTTCGGAGATCATTTTTTATAAGGTTAGGGCTATCCTTAGGGCCGCTTTAGGATCCATAGGGCCGTTTTAGGATCCTTAAGGCCGTTTTAGGATCCTTAGGGCCGTTTTAGGCCCTAACCTTATTGAGTCTAATTCGATTCTAAAAAAAAATTGAACTCATGCATGATTAGGTTATCAACAAGTTAAATTTGTGTAAGATTCTGCCGCATGGGATGGGTACAGGAACCGGCAATTATGAAGGGCAACGGCCACCACCTGCGCCGCCGGAGATGAAGAGTGGTGTAGGTGAGGGGAACGGCAGCTCGGCGGGTGTATCTAGATACTACCTTGACACCTTTCTCTTTCTGTCTTTCTTTTTTTTTTTTTTTTTTTTGACTTAGTCTCTCGATCGATTTGCCGCTACTACGTGTTGTGGTTTTCCAGCGTTTGAGTCACGTCTCTAGGAAGCTGGCTGTGTGTCCGAAAATTGATTCAACGTCCGTTGAAACGGCGTTGAATCAACGGGCAAACGGGGTCAGAGAACATTTTTTTGGTAGGCTAAAAATAATCCAAGAAAAACATAAAAAATATGGGGTTGTAGATATTTTTGAGGTCTACAACCTCATATTTTTTATTTTTATTTTTTTTAGCGTTGATTGAAACGGCGTTGAATCAACGGGCGTAAGCCCGTTAGACGGTTACAACGGGGTCAGAGAACATTTTTTGGGTAGGCTAAAAATAATCCACGAAAAACATTAAAAATATGGGGTTGTAGATATTTGTGAGGTCTACGACCTTTTTTTTTTTTTTTTTTTTTTGAGCGTTGACTATATTTTAAAAAAAATCGAAAACATAAACAGAATGAAAAAAAAACAAAAGATGAAAAGAGTTTTCTTTTTCGGTTTCACAGAGATTTTTTTAGGGCTAAAAAAAGGCAGAAAAACAAATAAAAAATATAAGGTTGTAGATCTTTCAACGATCCCCCGGCCTCGATACAACTGTTGCAATATAGTTGATAGCTTTCCCAAAAAAAAAAAAAAAAAAGATGTACAGCAATTTGTTTTTTTTTTTGAACTTTCATGTATTTTTTTAAAATCAAAAACAGAAAAGCAATCAGAAAAAAGGAAAAAAAGACACACACACAGACACACACACACACAGACACACAACACACCAACACACCAACACACATAAACACAAACTCACATGCACACACACACACACACACCAACAATCACGCACACACACACAGACTTACAAACACACACATACTTCTGGGTAGGTTTGGGGACAGCAGGATGGGTCGGACGGGGGAAGGGGGATTTGGGGCTCGGTAGTTGTTTAAAGGGCTTCTGTGTAGGTTTGGGGACTCTTAGGGGGGCGGTCAAATTTTTTATTTTTTTTCTGGTTTTAGTGTTTGCCACTGTTTGGGCGTGTAGGGCCACATGTCCTAGGCCCAATGGCCCCGATCCGGTTTTTTTGGGGTTCAACTGAGACGTTCGCCGTGCTACGCAGGTGTTTGGGCGTGTAGGGCCACATGTCCTAGGCCCAATGCCCCCAATCCGTTTTTTTGGATTCAACTGAGACCTCCCGTTTTCCCGGGGGCTATTCAACGGCTACAACGGCGTTTCGTTCCATCCGTTGTCCATTGTTAGGACACACAGGAAGGTGGAGGTGGGTTTGTGGTAAATAGGAGTATACCCCTTGGCTGTTCGCAGCCCGTCAGGGGTGGATTTTACACCCCCGAGTCAATTTCGTCGTGGGGCTGTGTTTTATACCCCTAAGCTGAGTCAATTTTTGTCATCCTTTGTTATACCGGTCGTCCAACGGGCAGTTGTTGCTTGTATAGGACCGGTAGCTGACCAGAGGAGGCTGAGGAGAGTATCCCCCTTGGCTGTTCGCAGCCCATCAGGGGTGGATTTTACACCCCCGAGTCAATTTCGTCGTCGGGCTGTGTTTTATACCCCTGAGCTGAGTCAATTTTCGTCGTCCTTCGTTATACTGGTCATCCAATGGGCAGTTGTCGCTTGCATAGGACCGGTAGCTGACCAGAGGAGGCTGAGGAGACTGCAGTGCATGAGTTGGCTTGAGTTGAACATTTCGAAATGGAAATGGCATGGGTCAACTTTTCTCAAATAGAAGGGCACGTCGAATATACCACGCACGTGTTGTATTCGAAAATAGAATTCGGAAAAGAAAAAAACCTTTGTATTTGAATAGAACATCACCTTTCTTTATTTTTCGAGGTTAGGGCCTGCCCTCGTGCTCCCTGCCACTGACATGCTGCATGCTGCAGGTCTCTCTCTTTCTCTCTCTCACACACACACACACACACACACACACTCACCTACTCTCACGTATGCACGTGCACACACACACACACTTTCTTTTTTTTGTCTCTCTCAAAACGTTTCGCTTCAGCCAACTAGAAGGGTGATATGAGCACCCCCCTATAGTGGACTTCCGGCAGAATGCTCCGAGTTGTGTATAGCGAACATGACAGAACATAAACACAGCATAGACAGAACATAAACACAGCATAATGAAATCAGTCTTGCAAATTCACACTCAAACATGCATGCAACAGATGAGAATAACTTGGCGGTGTGCACCCAACTCAAACTCGGAGATATGGTAGCTTGCAACTCAACTCAAATCCAAGTTCACTTCAGTTGGCTATGGCGCTGGGCGCCCTCACTTACACGTTCGACTCAGAGTTCACACGCAACTCGACTCCGGATCACCCTGGATACCATGCACGCCAACCACTGCACACACACATACACACTCACTAACTGTCTATGGCTATGGCGCATGGCCACTAACAGCTAACTAGCCTATCACTAACTTCTGCCCACTTCGTCTTCAGGCCATCTGCAGACCTCCCTTGCACAAGACGCCCGAGCAGCGCTTCCGCAGAGCTTCCGCAGGAATGAATGAATGGCTGGACGCAGCCTCTTGATTTATACTTCTGTATTGCATTGGTCTGCCTTGTATCCCTGGCCCATGATGCACACAGTCCCCCCCCGTGGTACTTGCTGGACCGGACTGGTRCTTTCTAGACTTTCCCATGACTGCATAGTGACAACCCTACGACGCAGTGCAGTTGCACTGGGGTCCTACTATTTGCCCTTGCCACTTGTCCTCGTCTCCAACATGGGCTTGCTTTAGTCACACCACTTGACCACTTGCCAACCTTCTAGAAGGACTGCAGCTGGACTTCTACTCTACAGGTCTATGGATCAAATCCTGGCTACTACCTAAAGACCTACGACAGACCTACTTACCACTGGCGGTYCTACAGGTCGCAGGTTCAATTCTTCAAGTTGTCACAGATATTGCTCACAGGTAAGTTGGGGAACTAGGGATCGAACCCTGGGTCCTGCATCAGCTACTTCGAACTGGTGAATACCGTTTCACATAATCACTACCTTACGCCTCCCCAACCACCTCAACAAACAGACTGTGGGCTGCGTACCCGTGCCCTAACGGTAAGTCAATTGCGGATTCGCTATATGCAGCTGCCCCCTTTGGGGATATAGTTTTGACTTTCATGGCCATAATTTTGGTGTTTCTATAACGGAAAGCGTCAGGCCCTACTAGCGGGAGCCAGCTAAAGCCTTCACGATTTCCATTCAAGAAACGCCGAAACTGCGGCAAGGAACATCCAAGTCAAATGCCCAAAGGGATGTGTGTGTGTGTGTGTGTGTGTGTGTGTGTGTGTGTGTGTGTGTGTGTGTGTGTGTGTGTGTTATTCGTACGGCAGATGTGAACGACACAAGGACGGAGAGAGAGAGTGACCTCCCCAACGGGGCTGTCTTTTTCAAAATGCCCCTCTGAAAAATAACTCTTGTGTGAAATACCCGTGATGGTGGGTTGGAAGCCCCATCTTTGCAATATACCCCTACGGGGTTTCGTTCCAAGTTTGCAAAATGAACCCGGTAGTTGCCGACTTTGTGATATACCCCTACGGCGCGATTGCGAAGTGCCCAGGCCCAAACGGTGAGGTCCAGATTGCATATTTGCGCACAGGAGGATGTGGGATAATCACGCAGGGTGCATTCGATGCGAAATACTCTCTTACTATCACCGAGTGGCAGAATCCAACTTGGTCTGGCTTGGTCAATCAGGAACAGTATGAGGATGTGCACTTGCGAGCTCTACAGCCTTTGGAGAACAATCCGGCCGACCCTCCCGCCTTCTGCTGGGCCTGGCCAGGCTGCTTCCCTTGCCTGCGCAGATTGGACGGATTCTACCAAGGATACAATCTGGCCGACCCTGCCCCCTCTGCTGAACATGGCCAGACAGCGTCCCTTGCCTGTGCAGATCGAACGGATTCTACCACGGATAGTGAGGGGACCTCTTCAGAGGACGGTGGCTGCACCCTGCCATTGTGTCTCCACATAGGCACAGTTCGGTTAGCATGTGCACAACACAATCTCTGCTGAAGGGATGGCCACTGCCAGCCTCTGCCACGAAAACCGTGGTCGGTTGTCTTGCACTGATCTCCCCCCTTCCCAACCCCTTCCCCCCCCCCTCATCGGCTGCTCCAATGGACCTCCATATGCCGCCGTGACCTTGACATGCCTTGCTTGAAGAACCACGAATGCGGTCCTGCTTTCCTGCTGTGGCATATTAGCGACATGCCATGTGTCATCAATGTTCCCAAGAAGTATAATTCAAAATGCTTCAGCAACAACAGTGCAAATGAGTTGAACAGTGGAAATGAGTTTTGAAACGACCCAAGAAAGAAAAGATGGCAATGGATTATTGATTATGGGCTTTCAACCCTGTTTTGCCGTCTCTGTGTGCAGGGTGGCTTTTTGGTTGACGTTTATCGCGATTGTTGTCATCAACTGCAGCAGCAGAAACAGCAGCAGCAGCAGGAGGAGGAGGGGAAGGATCTTGCTTGGAACGCACCATGGCCCGCACTGGATGGTCCGTTGGCCCATGGCTTTGTTGTTGCATGCTCCTCTTCACGCTGCTGTGCACGTTTCCTGCTTTGCTATTGGCTGAATCTTCAGAGGGGAATGGACATATGCCGGAGGGCGACTTGATCGAGCTGACTGACAAGACATTTGAGCATGATACCCAGGCATATACTGGCCAGACAACGGGCCATTGGTGAGTGCGAG